TGGTATGAACTGGATTTGTATACAGTAGAGAACAAGCATTTTTAATGGTGGTAGAATGACCCCATGTCATCATACCTGTGACAGGTGGCCCAATCTCATGCCATTATACAGAGGGCAGGCAGAACAACTCCATGATATTTGTGTACTGACCGGTGGATCATGCCGTTGTACTAATAGGCAGACCAGCAACAGATTATATTAAGAGCAGGTGAACCAACACTATGTCCTTGTTCCATCGGGAAGACAAATGCCTGTTACCGTATTGAGGATAGGCAGACCTACACTATTGTACTTGGGACATCATCCATCAACATTATAAAGAGACCAACATTGTTCCATTGTGCTACAGACAAGCAGACCAATAACACGTTATCTTTACTGACAGATGAGCCGACACCATAGCCTTGTATCAATCAGTGGTTCAACCCAATGTCACTGTACTGAGGAATTGCCAACAACACCATGCTGTTGGACTGAAAGCAGGCAGGACAGTGCCAGCTCATCAAACTAGGACAGGAAGACCAACGCCAAGAAAGACATCAGAACCGTTCAGGATGCACACACGTACTTATTGCTTTTGTCTGTACCGGCTGCACTGATGGCTGCAGGAAGGAGAGTTGAGCTTTTCGTACAGACAGTGACACTGAAAACACACCAATGGCTGGTTGACAAGAAAGGGAACAGAGTAAGACACCCAATGTCCAACTGTCACTGTGTCCTTCTGAGATGCGCATGTCTCCTGTACACTTGACTTTATGAGAGGCCCCACCCGAGGGCCAAGAACCCCTCCTGACCCATGAGGGTTAAGGGGATGCTTCAGAGGGACAGGAAAGGAGCCCAAAGACTTTTATATGGCAGACAGTGATGCCAGCACAATGTCACCCACCGTGGCCAGAAACAGGCTTGTAGCAACAACCCAACTACAGTCCCAACAAGTGGCCCACGGAAATAATGCTTGTTTTAAAGTGCAAGATGTTGACACTGTCCCTGGTAGAACCTATTTTTGAAAAACATAAAGTGCTTTTTATTTTAATTTTTTTAGCTTGAAAATCACAGGAAACAAAGAAGAATTTCTATTATAGTAGGCGCTTTCCCTGCCATGGCAGGAAGTATTCAAAGTCTGAACTGGGCATTTCAATTATGGGTATTCTTTTCCTTTCATTTTTGCAGGTAAAAAAAAAAATCAGATTTTTATGCTGTTCTTTAGGAACACACGGTCTCTTAGAATAAGCTATTTCTTTTGCATATTTGACACTTGCATATCTTTTGAGTCTACACTGATGATATACAGGAAGTGTTTTCCTCCTACAACCCTAAAGCAACACTCCGAGTTCATACTGTTGGCTGAGTGCCCGCCTTCTGACCCCTTCCCAGATCGCCAGGGGGCAATTAGAATTGAGTACAAGTGGTGCAACTCACCTACGATATCTCAAAATATAAAATCTCAGGTACTATGGAACACCGAAGTCAATGAAGACATTTGAGTAAGAGTTTTGCGCTGGGATCGTTGCTTATGG